GTGGTTTTTCCAGCTCTTTCTTCAGCAGCAAACAAAGTTTATCGCCCTTCCACCCCCCTCCAAGTAGGCTCAGTGCCTAGGGAAACCACTTTACAGTTTGGGTTGAAACCCAGAGCAGATTTACTGACCCACTGGCACCAGAGCCGATTTTGGGTATATGCTATGTGTTGTTAACCAACTCACTAAATCTCTGCAACCTGAATGCTTTTTAATCCAATCAAATGCCCTTTTAGAATTTCTTCTGAGAAGTTTATAATGGCCAAGCAACAATCTGACAATGGCCAAGCAACAATCTGACCTCACTACCTCTGAGGATGCTTGCCATAGATGCAGGCGAAACGTCAGGAGAAATGCCTCTAGAACATGGCCATATAGCCCAAAAAAACCCCACAAGAACTGAGTGATTCCAGCCAGGAAAGCCTTCGACAATACAAATCTGACTATTGTTGTTAAGTGCTCCGAATGAACCTATATTGAGTTCTACAGTTCGTCACCAAATTGATCTCTGATTAATTCTTTTTACAATTAGCCATTACTGCACTCTTTCCCCCCTCTGGACTAGAGTTCCCAGGAAATGGTCCAGCCAGTATAGCCACTGGCTGTGCTCACTGCAGGATTAGCAGAGCTGTAGTCTTAAAGAAAACCCCCAAGCTCTGGCTTTTGCAGAATGAGAATGCAATAAATGCAGGTGTAAATAAATACTAGGAATGTTATGGCAATACATGTCTAGGAATGTGTTGTCGAAGGCTTTCATAGCTGGAATCAATGGGTTGCTGTGAGTTTTACAGCCTGTATGGCAATGTTCCCGAAACATTTTCTCCTGACGTTTCACCCACATCCATGACAGGCATCCTCAAAGGTTGGGGGCGGGGGGGGGGGTGTTTGTTGGAAACTAGGCAAGTGACCCTAGGCATGTTTAGGAAATAAGCATTTTGCTAGTATCCAATTTTTAAATAAAGGCTAGAGTTCCACTAAGCCTGGAAATCACCATCCCAATGAAAAACTTGCCAACTGCTCATAGGATTGACTGCTGAAGGATCCAGAACATGGATGGAGGGGGAAAGCAGGCAAGAAAGGAGTATCTTGACTGATAGAGAGCTCCTCCCATGCTGCAACCTTTTGTTGCAAATCCTATTTGTACTCCCCAACTGCAGATGCTCTGAACATTGGCTTCAGGAGTGGATTATGACTAGGCCAGATATGCATCAGAAAAGTAGCTTTCAGCGCTGAGGAACTGATTTGCATTTTCCTTTGTTCTTTTTGAATGAATTTTGACTTTTAGAAGCTATTTCTCATCCCTTCTATGTCAAAGATTCTCTTTGGATGCAGGAGGAATAGGAAACAGTAAAGCTTCCCCCGTGAGATGACTAGAGAAATAGTGCTGATATAACCCCTCCATTCTTCATGGAGATCATGTCAATTTGTACCCATCATTAATTTATGTCCTAAATACTTTTTCTTCCAGGACGTTCTTTTTAATTGTAGGAAGATTCCAGCTGTAGTTCTACTGGATCAGCTCCAGAGTGGCACTTAGCACAGATCTACTTGCTCTGAAGGAAGGGAGAGATGAGACAGCTTTCCAAGTCCCCTTTCATCTTGCAACATCTGTGCTTCTCAAAAAGCTCCTCTGCGGGGTTGGGCGACACTCTGGAGAAACATGAGAAGCAGTGCAGGAGGAAATCAGAAAATTAGCTCTTTGCCTAGGCATGGAGGCTGCACTGGACCCTGATATCTTCCATGAACAGAAAGAGCTTTTCATTCTATTCAAAAAATGGCCAGTCTGTGTCCAAACCAACAAAAGTAGGTTATGCAAAGGGGACTCCTTTCAGCTCAAATTCAGAATCATATTCAATTAAGATACATTTTTAGGGGCTCCAGCCCAATGGCAGGAGCAGCCAAACAAAGGAAGCATGAAAAATGCCAACATATTTGGATTAAAATCTTTTTCTGTCAGTCATTAAGCTTTAGAAAACTCACTCCAGCTTTTCAGGATGTGTTTAAAACCTGGAACAATATCAAATGGATAGTATTGTGGGAATGAGGGTATGGGATCAGTGGTTCCCCAAAAGGCTGAAGAGAGACTCCAGGTTGGCTGGATTTGGCCTGAAGGCCTGGGATTCCTTACTGATGCCATTTCAAGTACCAACAAGTATTCTTCCCTTTTGTATACATGTGTGTTGTTGACTCCTTAACATCATTGTTCATAGTAGACTGAACCATAGAGTTGGAAGAGACCACAAGAGCCATTCAGTCCAAACCCATTGTGCCATGCAGGAACACACAATCAAAGCATTCCTGACAGATGGCTATCCAGCCTCTGTTTAAAAACCTCCAGAGAAGGAAATGTCACCACATTCGGAAACAGCAAAATATTCTACTCTCGAACAACCCTTACCATCAGGAAATTTTTGGTGTTCCATTGAAATCTTTTTTCCTGTAATTGGAATCTATTGCTCCATGTCTTTTTAGTCTCTGGAGAGGAGAAAACAAGCTTTCTCCACCTTCAATGTGACATCCTTTTAATGATGTAAGCATTGCTGTTATGTCACCTCTTAGGCCCCTTCCACACAGCTGTATAAAATCACATTGAACTGGATTATATGGCAGTGAGGACTCAGATAACCCAGTTCAAAGCAGATATTGTGGATCATCTGCTTTGATATTCTGGGTTATATGGCTGTGTGGAAGGGCCCTGAATCTTCTCTTCTTCACCAGGTAACTTTGGTGACATCAACAGGAGTTACATTGGACATGATTCCATTGATTTTAATGAGTGAAAGTATGCTGAATGTTGGGTCTAAACAAGTTATTTCCCCAAGGCCCTGGGCATTGTTTTCCATGTATTTCTTTTGTTGCTTCCCAAATAGTTATTTTCCTGATAGGATGTAATCTGATCAAAACTCTTTGGTCCATTAACACGTTTCTTTCTTGTGATCCTTTAAACATTACCTATCGGCTAAGAGTCTCAGCCTCAGGTGGTATAAGTAATATGCATAGCATTGTCAGCAGAACTACCATCTGATGCTACTGAAAGACATTATGGTACCGCAAGCTGCATACTTTCCTGAGTCACCATAATTTTTACCCTCTTCCCATCTGCCTGGTTCTTTGTACATTTTGAAACTTGAAAATGCCAGGAAATGATAATTCACATGCATATGGATATATATAGAGATATAAAGAAAGACCTTTATAAGTATGAGAAAAAGCATACATATATTTTTGCACAAGGAAATGCCAGTACAGTGGATCAGATAACATGTTTGGTGCAATACCGTGTCAGCTGTGGTTTTTGTGTCAACAGGGTGAGTCCCCCTTCGGGGGGAGAAGGGCGGGGTATAAATATAGGAAATAAATAAATAAATTTTAGTTCAAATAACTTTATATATACAGTTAGCTCTCCATATTCATGGATTATGTGCCCACAGATACAATAATCCAGAACTTGAAATTATTACCCTTCCCAATAAATAAATAAATAAATAATTCACAAAGCAAACCTTGATTTTGCCATTTTATATTAGAGGCACCATTTTACTATGCCACACACACACACACACACACACTTATATATACATACATATACACACAGACACACAGGGATTTGAGTGCCCATGGATTTTGTTTTTCACAAGGAACCCTGGAACCAAACCCCAGTAGATACCAAGGACCACCATATTTAGTTAAACAACAGAATCACTAAAAAATCCCCGCTGTTGGTGAATTATCTAGACAGCTATTGGGACAATGGAAAAGAGTGTCTGGTGTTTCCTGAGATTGATGTACATCAGTATGAAATACATATTGGTATGCAATCCACATTTGGCAGTTTGTCAGCTTTGTTGCATAGTAACGTAACAGCAGCCTTCTACTAGGCATGAACATTATGAAACTGACCCATTCTAATTCCTGTATATCCACGTACAAAAACAAAATTCCTATATAGGATCCACTTTTATCATTCCTCAAATTTTGGGAAATGTGGCTTACAATTTAAAGCAAGAACAATCCAGTTTTTTTTTAAAAAAAAATACAGTGAACATTAAAATGGAATTAAAATATTCATGATATTAAAAATTCAACCATGCATTTAAAATGATAAAAAGCCATTTAAAACAGTTCTGTTTAAAACAATACTGTACCTTCTTAAAAGACTACACTCTAAAAACTTTATGTTTAAAAAGCAAAAGGTATTTGCTTGCCAACTGAAGAACAATAAACAAAGGGCCATTCTGACCTCCCTGAGATGTGGTTTCCAGAGACTAGGGGTAGCTCTGTCTTCAGCCCCTTCTACACAGCTGAATAAAATACCACAGTATCTGCTTTGAACTGGGATAAATGGCAATGTGGACTCAGATAACCAAGTTCAAAGCTGACATTGTGGGATATTCTGGGTTATATGGCTGTGTGGAAGGACCCTAGGAGCGAATGGAGCTGTGCTAGCAAGGAAGTCGTATGGCCCTTGTAACTTGCCCCAGTTAAAATTATGGTTGCCGCTCATTGAACCAGCTGAAGTTTCTGAACGGTCTCCAAAGGCAGCCCCTTCCGCACTGCTGTATAAAACCCACATTGAACTGAATTATATGGTAGTGTGGACTCAGATAACCCAGTTCAAAGCAGATATTGTGAGATTTTTTTGCCTTGATATTCTGGGATATAGGGCTGTGTGGAAGGGTATTAAGAAAAGACTTAAGGAGGCTATAGCAATTAAATGTCAAACAGCATAAAACAAAAATTGATATTTATCACAAGGAATAAAAATTCCCAACAAACAACAAAAGGAGCAAACCAAGGTAATGACAAATGAGTGCAGTATCCACATACTTACGGATGGGACATTTTCTCAACTGAAGGATTAAGTAAAAAATCAAGTGGTCTGCCTCACCCTGAAGTTTTGGGGCTGATACTTGGGGGGGGGAGGGGTTGCATCCATAAATTAAAATAAGATGGTCCAACTACCAACCAACAATTCTTCTATTCTGATTAGGGAATCTACTTACCCTCCCTTGATGTAGTCTAGAAATGTGTGCTCTGATTCTGTCGCAAATGAGAGCAAGGTAACCTTGAAAATAAAGAAACAGAGGTACCCTGATGAACTTATTATTGATGCAACCAAATGTTCATTTACTTTCTGCTATGACAGTTGTATGTAAACCTGTACCTTCTTTCAACTAAAGTTAGGCAGGAATGCTTTGCAGAGTATAAGGATGGATGGCAGATTTGATGTGATTGTCCTTTAACTGGCATATAATGGGTGGAAACATTCAACACATTTTTCTTTTCTATTTGACAAGGGAATAGGCTCTTGTTGTGTCCAGTGGCTGCAGTCAGGTAATAAAGAGGGGGATGTTGAGCTGAGCCTTAGATACACCCACTTGATATGTAACTTAGGGCCTTTCCACGCAGTCCTATATCCCAGAATATCAGGACAGAAAATCCCACATTATCTGAGTGTGGACTCAGATAATCCAGTTCAAGGAAGTTATTGTGGGATTTTCTGCCTTGATATTCTGGGATATAGGCCCCCTACACTAACATATATCACAGGATGTGATCCCAGATTATCTGCTTTAAACTGAATTATATGAGTCTCCACTGACAGATAATCTGGGATAAACAGATAATCCGGGGCAGGCTCAGATCCTGGGATATAGGGGCAATGTGGAAGGGACCATAGACATAAATGCAAATTAAAATAATTACAATGTAATGTAAAAGTCATTAAATGGTAAGCATTCAAAAACTAAGAATAAGAAAGTGAATTAAACTATAGTAATTAAAGTGATATCAAACTGCTGTTTGGATAATCTCAGAATGTATCAAAAGTATATAGTTACTGCAGTTAGGCAGCATTTTGAAGGGTGTGGCCCCATTCTATAAATTCAGTGCCTTCGATGAATTTGTAATCCAATGAAGAGTTTAAAATCCTCAGCTAGAGTGAAGAACTAGAATTAGAAGAGAATCCCAACTATTTCACCAAACTATCAACCCCAGGAGCCCACAGGATAGAGCCATGGCACTTAAAATGGTATTATACTGTTGTAACTGTTTAGTGTAGGTAGATGGAATTATACATGGAGGAAAATGATGAGAGTGCATTGGACCTCAAAAAGATCAAACCAATCCATACTCCAGGAATTAAAGCCCAACTGCTCACTGGAGGGAAAGATATTAAAGGCATAGATGAAATACTTTGACCACATAATGAGAAGACAGGATGGCTTGGGGAAGATAATGATAATGGGACAATGAAAGGAAAAAGGAAGAGGGGCTGACCAAGGACAAGATGGATGGATCGTATCCTTAAATTGACTGGCTTGACCTTGAAAGAGTTGGGGGTGATGACAGCCGACAGGGAGCTTTGGAGTGAGCTCGCTTTGAGGTCACGAAGAGTCAGAAACAACTTAACAAATAAACAACAAATACATAGAATTGCCACCCTGTTTTTTGGCCTACATCTGTGTAGCATGAGATCCATTATGTCTTGGGAAGTAGGGCAGAAGTAATTTCTTGATGGCACATTCTTATTTAGTGCACGGTTTTCATTCATGTACATAATGGCCCTCCTGCAGTTGAGTTTAAAAATTAATTAAATTCCAACCAGTTGACCAAAATATGGCCCATGCTACTGAGATACTGAGTCTAAAACCATCGGAGAAAGTATATCTCTGCTCTTGTTCAGCTTTAAAAGGATTTCTTTTTAGCAACATAAAACACGAGTTAAAATAATGTTACTCACTGTTCCAGAATTAATGTACTTCTTTTTCTTCATCTTCTTCTTGGGATTCACTACCTGAATAAGAAAAATAGGAAAAGAATAGCAAGTGAGGGTGATGCCAAATGGCTGTGGAAGATGCATTCAGAGCTGATATGTAAAAACTACTATAGTTGCATTGGTACAGATATTTACATTTCTTTATGCTAGACAGTTGGAGAGTGGTAAGGTTTGCAATACAGATGTGCCACATTTGAGTTTTATATAATTAAATATCACAAGCACAGTTGAACTTTAAATACTGAAATATTCATATTTTAACAACAATACAATAAATTATTTTTAAAATTTGACATATATGCATGCAACCGACATGGTGCTTATACAGGGCTGCATTAGGCTCGTAATACTATAGGATGCTCTGGTACCAGACCATTACTCCAAATTATGTGGATTTGACTTTCTGTTCCAGATCTGAGACATCCCCTGAGTTATAACAGATGCAAATTCAAACATCAAATAGGAAATAATTTTGTTGTAGTAAGAAACTATTGAAAGTTCAAAGCAAATAGTTTATATATTATTACACTGTAAACTACCACAGCATGTGTACAAATAATATTTTATAAAATAGATCTGACGTACAATGATAATCTCCTGCGCTGGTGTGTCATCAAAAAAGGGAAACAACATTTCTATATTAAGTCCGATCACAGCTACCAAGTTCTAAACAAACTATTTTGGGATGCTGCATTCAGTAGACATGATTATTTGTAGTTAGCACGAAGTACATACGCAATGATAGAAAAATTATTGTTTGCATATTTGCTATTTTGGAAGAGTGAAAGGCAAAATACAATAGGAAAACAGATTATGTTCCAAGTCTCTTGGACGTGTGATTGAAATGCATTTGTGATTTAAAAAAGGATGACTGTTAGACACCAAATCCCTGGCTCTGCATTCTTTTCTCTGAGGGCAGGAGATGGTCTAACAGGACCAGCACTAACATTAGGCCAAGTGAAGTAACCCTTTCAAGTGGCAGATGCCCAGGGAGGGGGCAATAGTGGCTGCCTACTAGCTGTTTTTCCCTGTTATTTAGAGGTCTCATTGCAAAGGAGAAGAAAGATATGGGAGCTGTACATCTGTCTTGGTGTCGTAAGAGAATGCTATTCCCACCATCAGTGCAAACATGTGATTTGGGGTTCCCAACTCATCCTTTGCATCAGGCAGCAAAATATATTGAGCTGATATCTTGCTTTAATTTGTTGTAAGCTACCTTGGGGTTCCATGTCAAGGGGAAGGTGAAATATTAAATATATACATACATAAAAGTGAGGTGCAAAACACCTTTCTCAGTGTCTATTCTCAGTAAATAGTGGGGAAAATGGAAGGAAGGAAGAGGGGCCGACCAAGGGCAAAGTGGATGGATGGTATCCTTGAAGTGACTGGCTTGACTTTGAAGGAGCTGGGGGTGGTGATGGCCAACAGGGAGCTCTGGCGTGGGCTGGTCCATGAGGTCACAAAGAGTTGGAAGCAACTGAATGAATAAACAACAACATTCTCTATATCTGGTCCCATCTTCACTGTCTATGGTGCTTGATTCCAGGTAACGAAAAGAGGAGGTTCAGGGTGATGTTGTGGTTTGAACACTGTACTTACTTACTTAGGTGATCCTCACTGTCTGAGCATGATGGCCTTCCAAGTGCAGTGCCTTGGCGGTGGATACGTAGGTGACTGTGGAGCCCTATTCTTGATCCCTATGTTCTTCCTCAGTGAGGGCATCATTTTCCAGGTGGAAGGCATGCTTGGTCAGGGTTGTTTTGATGTGCATTCCTCTTGACACGTTTCTCCCTTCTGCTCTCCATTTGGGCCTCTTCGAATTCTGCAGCACTGCTGGTCACAGCTGACCTCCAGTTAGAGTGCTCAAGGGACAGGGCTCCCCTGTTCTTGGTGTCCATGCCACAGTTTTTAAGGTTGGCTTTAAGCCCATCTTTAAATCTCTTTTCCTGTCCACCAACATTCCACTTTCCATTCTTGAGTTAGGGGTATAGTAACTGCTTTGGGAGATGATGATCGGGCATTCAGACAATGTAGCCAGTCCAGCGGAGTTGACGGCGTAGGAGCATCGTTTCAATGCTGGTGGTCTTTGCTTCTTCCAGCAAACTGCTATTTGTCTGCCTTCCTTCCCAAATAATTTTCAGGATTTTTCAAAGGCAATGCTGATGGAATTGTTCCAGGAGTTGAGTGTGATGTTTGCAGACAGTCCACATTTTGCAGCTGTATAACAGGGTTGGGAGGACAATAGCTTAAACAAACACCTCGGTCTCCCTATGGATGTCCTGGTCCTCAAACTCTCTGCTTCATTTGGAAAAATGCTGCACTCGCAGAGATCAGGAGGTGTTGTATTTCAGTATCAATGTTGACTTTTGTGGAGAGGTGAACACTGCACTACAACTCAGGAGACTAGGGCTCAAATCACCAAACATTAAAACCGAGTGGGGATACATCAACATTGTAGAATTCATGCAGTTTGACATAACTTTAACTGCCATGTTTCAATGCTATGGCATCCTTGGATTGGTAGTTTAGTGAATCACTGGCACTTTTTGGCAGAGAAAGCTAAAGACACTGTAAAACGATAACTTCCAGGATTCCATAGCATTGAGCCATGGCAGTTAAGTGTTGTCAAACTATATTAATTCTACACAACAGGTGCACTCTCTGTTTCAAGCTATAGAGCAGGGGTCCCCAAACTACGGCCCGCGGGCCACTTCCGGCCCACCAAGGGAACTTATCTGGCCCGCGGAGGAGGAGCGCCCCCCCACACAGTGCCCCTCCCTTGGATGGCTCACGATATCCATCAGGCCTGATGGGCAGCGTGAGTCAGCCAAGGGCAGCTGCTCCGTGTGGCCTACTCACGCACAAAGCAGCTTGCGAGGTGCTTTACTCGCAAGTAGGCCACGTGGGGCTGCTCCTCCCTTGGCAGGCTCACGTTATCCATCAGGCCGATGGGCAGCGTGAGCCACCCAAGGGCAGCTGCTCCGCGTGGTCTACTCGTGCGTAAAGCACCTCGTGAGGTGCTTTACTCGCAAGTAGGCCACACGGGGCTGCCCCTCCCTTGGCAGGCTCACGCTATCCGTCAGGCCCGATGGGCAGCATGAGCCAGACAAGGGAGGCTGCCCCGATGCACCATGCAGTCATGCCGGCCACATGACCTTGGAGGTGTCTACAGACAACGCCGGCTCTTTGACTTAGAAATGTAGATGAGCACCACACTCCAGAGTCAGACACGACTGGACTTCGTGTCAGTGGAAAAACCTTTAACTAGGAAAATTGTGGAAGATCTAGGGTGGGAGAAAGAACTCTTGTCTGTTGGAGTTAGATATTAATGTTTCAATTGGCCACCTTGATTACCATATCATAGCCTGACAGTTTTTAGGGAGAATCCTTTGTTGAGAGGTGATTAGCTGGCCCTGATTGTTTCTTGTCTGGAGTTCCCCTGTGTTTGAGTGTTGTTCTTTATTTACAGTTATAATTTTAGAGTGTTTTTTAATACTGGTAGCCAGATTTTGTTCAGACTAGAAATAGGAAGATTTCCCATTCTCTGCTCCTGAAATTACTGCCTAAAGAGGGCTAGAAAGAACCCCCTCTAAGGGCCCTTCCACACAGCAAAATAAGATATGTGCAATGTGCATAGGAATTTTTTAATTGATTTTTTTAAAAAAACTATAGTTCGGCCCTCCAACGGTCTGAGGGACAGTGAACTGGCCCCCGGTTTAAAAAGTTTGAGGACCCCTGCTATAGAGCCTTGACCTTGCAAATTCTACCTCACTTACATAGCTTAGATCTAAAAAGCTATAAAGAAATCCTACAGCAGCTTTGAGACAGAGAAAAAGAAATGTCTAGCATAGGTTTCCATAAACTCCAGTTTTCTTTATCAGATGCATCTAACTTGTGCTAGAAATTTATTTACCTCACTTAGAATCAAAGTGTAAAGATGTCACCAATTTGTAACGAGGCTACCACTTTGTAAAGACGACATCAGAAGCAGTAGGGCCATCACTGAGTTATTAGGGTCTCCTATTATTTGTAATGGATTTATAAAATTGATAACATAGTTAATAGCTTGTAATATTTTGTTGGGCTTTCTTTAATGTGCAGCGCGGCTTGACTTGAAAGTATTCGTAACAGAGACTTGGCTTTAAGAGAAACTGTAAGAAATTTAATGAAGTATAGAAGAAGCTTAATGGTTTCAATGTTTCTTAACTACTAGAGGCACATTTCTTTAGAGGTTACATTTATAACATTTCAAAAAGCAACTCTTGAGAGGACTGTTCCTTCCACTAAACAGGTTTTAACTTTATTTTTCTTCAAACTGAGTTTCTTTCCTTAACAGTTCACTTCAGGTACCAGCTTATTCCTTCCCTATGTTATTTCTGTTGCAGTAAAGATGCTTACTGGGATTCTCTCCCCCTTTTTGCTCATACACTAACTACTAATCTAAATAAGTCAACTTGACCTATCTAAACCACACAGGCTAAAAGCCTAAACCTTCCTGGTTCTCAACACTGTAGAACCAGCCTTTCCTGCAGTTCTCAGACTACAGACTGACCGTTTTAAAATGCCTGCCCTGCCAAGTGGCAGTTGGCTCCGCCCCTTTTTCCATGGCAACCAAGCTTTGAGTGAGCCGAGCTGGCTACCATCCCCCCAGTTATGTTATTTTAAATACTTACCCTTTTTAAACACCTATCTATAATTATACATAACTGTAGGTTACAATTCACACTTCATCACACAAAGGTGCTGTAAGATTCCTTTATAGCTTTTTTATGCTAATATAGTTAAGTGAGTTCTATTAGAGAAAGAACAGAGGGAAAGAAAGATTGTGAGTGGGGTGAGGTGCTATGAGGTTTCTAACCTCTGTGAAGCTGGGTTTCTTGCCAGCAGAAAACTTAAAGCATGCTGAGCCAATAAACTATCCTTGATTTCACTTGGAGGTCTCCTCTCCGCATTCCTGTGCATGATGGTTTCCCAACTTGTCCCTTCAGATCTGAATCATACTCACCACAATGTGTTAT